TGGTAAAAAGTGATATTTTCGACTTCTTGTTAAAAACCAAAAGTTCAATTGCTTTGATATTACATATATAGATACTACATGTAGACCTTTCTCAGATTTGTTCATTTCGTGATGATATCTTCAATTCTCTAATTTTGGTGAATATTTTAGTCATTTTTGGTAGAAAGTGATATTTTCGACTTCTTGTTAAAAACTGTAAGTCCGATTGCTTTGATACTATACATATTGTTCATTTTCTGATGATGTCTTCAGTTCTTTAATTGAAATGTGCATTTCTAACAGCGGAGCTATCTCAGCCGATAGGCTGCTTGTTAATATTTGTACTAAATGGAAATAATTTCACAGCGTCTTCATAATTTTTTTTAAAACAAATATAGAAAAAATTAGGTAGGTTAACATTATAAAAGATCAAAAAAGGTTACCTCAATATTGAATGAATGAAGAAGATGTGTGTATTTTTGTAAGTCTGGAGCCAATTTAATAAATACAACAAAACTATACTTTGTGCAGCAAGTTGGTGTTTCCTCATTAGTATTTTCCTAAGCTTCATTAGTACGCATCAGTGACCTCAACAAGATGTGTAATGTGGTGAAATTTCATCATCTGTGCAACTATATGCAAAAAATATAGATATTTAAAGCAAATTTAAAGAAAATTGCAAAGTTGTTGTGCTGTAAATTTGCTTAGATAGAACTATCATGTTGATGCCGATATATATAGACCACCAACTGTACCAAATGCAGTCATTACAGGCCACCACATGTTGTTTTGATAAGAATTAAAGACCTTATTATCACAACATGTCAAGCGGACTGGACACTTCATGGGCTTTGCTTGTAGCTGTCTTTATCCCTCCTATGACTTGTAATTTAGACAAAGTGATTATAATAGTTTCTACATTTTTGCTGCCTTGGAATGAAAGGAGATCAAAGCTTCCATTTTTGCTAGCATTCCTTCATGCACTCGGCTAAAAGTTCTCAAGTTCTGATTCTGCTTGAGTGTAACCTGAAATGATTTGATATATTGACATCAACAAACACTTGCTCACTAAATGTGAGTCCCACTTCTTCACATACTGTAAAATACTTTATTTTCGCTTGGAATTAATTTTCGCTATTTACACTGAGTGTATGATTCAGTGAAAATAAAATCCAGCGAATATACCTTTTTTCCTATATTTTACATTCAACTCGTCAAAACTCAGTAAAAATGAATTTCTTTTCAGTGAAAATTAATTCCAGCTAAAATAAAGTATTTTATAGTACATTGTGTTGTATACATGGATGTGGTGAATGAAGTAAATCCTGTGGATGTAATAAATCCCATCTGAGGTTTCTAACCTCTAACACATTGCACATGTAATATACCATGGTTGAATGACAAGGGGCATCTTAGGCAATTAGGAGAAGGTTTAATTTAAATCACATACAACAAGGCCCTGTTATATTGAGAGTGGTTTATGTAATTGTCCCCAGTGTGTGTCCACTAAGCCAATTTGACTTGCCATTGATATGGCGACAATCGGTATATTGTAATGCATCTTCCATATATTTGTCTGTAAGCACATGTTCCTATGAAATTTTGATACCAAGGAGACTCTTGCTTGATATATACAACAAGGTGAACTTCCTGTACCTTGTAATTATATGCCCTTGATATGAATTGAAGAAATATTTTTGCAGTGTGGTATTGAGTCAGGAGATCTATTGATTCTCATAGCATGGATATTTGGCATTTTATAATATTATACTTAAATCAAATTACAGCCAGACATGTCTTCGAAACCACAGTGATATAGGGACTGTGTCCCAAACCCTGGGTATTTTTAATGATCTTCATCATTCATTCATTCAAAAAAAATCTTCTATAAAATTAATAAAAAGTATTGGTTTTGCCGTAGCTTGAAGTGGGTGAGTTTAAGTGTAAAAAAAATGTAAATACTTTGTGTTCTTAATTCATACACCATTGGGTATACATTGTCAAATCTAGTCTTACTGGCATTTCACTGTGGTTTTATCCCCCTTGGGCTAAATTTTTAAAACGCATATGTTAGGTAATCCTCTACGTTAAAAATGCAAACATAGTTATCTAGTTACTTGATTGTGGTTTATTTTCCAGTGAGTGATAGCTAACAGGCTGTCTGTTTTATAATCATTTCATACCAAAATTGATAACAGGCAATACCCTGGCTCTTTGTACGAGATGACCATACTTAGAATTCTATATGTTTTACTTCACAATTAAAACTCTTATTAAGTTTTCATGCTACAATTAAAATCTCTATTGGTGACATTGCAAAAATAAATTTACACAAAACTGACAATTAATGACAATAATGTAAATTTTTAAAATAAAATAAAATAACAGTATCATCACAGAAGCTGAAAGTCACAAAAATTAAGTTGTCTAAACCAAATCCGTATTTGCAATATTTGAAAAGTTGACCAAGTTATACTGTACTTTTCTCAAATCTGATTAGAATTAAATCCTTAGTTTAGGGTCCATATAATAAACACTAAAATGACCACCTATTTGATTTATGAGGGTTATATTTAACTGAAAACTATTTCTAGGCCAAGTAAACTATTCCAATATTAACTGTAGTTTAATCAGCTTTAGTAGGTAAACAACTTTTTAAATCTTTTATAATGTTGGGCATCATTGGAATCATTTGCTTTATCTGTATAACTTTTCAAGTGTGTAGTTTGAGACCTATTAGTATTATATCTCAATACAGATGTGCGTAATATCCATGGAGATGACCTTTGATCTCTGATCCTTGAATTATAATACATACCTGTTACATTTATTAGGTTTTAATAACCCCTAAGATGTTTACAATGCCAAATATCTTATTTACTTAGTTTTACTTCCTGTTAGTGGTCAACAATGTTTGTTCTGTCATTCCTTACTTGTTTATCATTTACTAAATCTTGTTGATGTCTATTCATTTTCAGCCTTAGAAGAACCAATCCAAATTGTCAGGATAGTTCTGGATATACCCCCCTGCATCATGCAGTGCTCAACGGTCATAAGTAAGTAACATACTTCAGATGTTCATTTCTTCAGGCCTTTGACCATGTGGTAATCGTTGACATTTTATAAATCCTACACAGAGGCCAAGGTAAGTGTAAATGAATGTATTATGCTGTATTTAGACCTTGTAGGATTAACAAAGTTAATGACTTATTTGCCATTATCAATTACTCTAGAAGGAGGGTTTAGTGATGTGTCACTCTAACTGTAGCTATGAACACATAAATGTCTTTAAAAGGCAGCAGCCGTTGCGAGATATATAGGTCTCACATATAAACAAAGATGGCGACTTTGACTGTTACGCAGATCAAAGAGTACAAACTGAGACGTTACCAAACTTTAATTAGGTATTTTTTTGGTTAATGGAAGATATTGAAGGAGTCAGTCCACTGCGGTAATTAGTGCATGTCACGCCCAAGTCAAACCTCATACTTGTGATTTCCATTAGATGAGCGCATTGAATTGTGGGAATAATCATTGTTTATCAACACAGATGTCGCACATGTGCAGCGCTCTTTAAGAAGTGACATTTTTGTTATGGAATTATCTCCTTGATTTTCATCTGGAAGGATTTTGCTATAACAAAATTATGGCAAAAGCACTGTGTTGGTGAACTAGTTACCGCACCAATCTGTAAACCCACCTGTAGGCAATATCATTGTACATCGGTGAGTGGACGAACATGCCACTCTTATCTTTATAGCACACTGACTATACACTGAGATCGCAGATCTTGCTTGTTTGTAGTGAAGACATCATCATGGCATATAAATATACAATTTTTACGAGGGGATGATGCAAATTATGCATAAAGACAGTAGAAATTAAATAGTGCCCGTCACGTAGTGGAGGTTGGTTCGACCACGTATTGAGTATAGTAGGATGTTAAATTTTTGATCTGCATAAATTACGGCTCACTGTAACTTGTTAAGAAACACTGACAGATGTAGAATAAAATAAAACTTAATTGTGGGATATTTAATGAACAAAACAAAACCATTTAACAAAAATAAAAATTTGCGTCAGGTAGGCACTCTGTTTTCCTCGTCAATGTATCATCTCATGAATGGTTTTGGAATTACAGTGCTACACAGGATATATTGTTGAATTACGAGTTACTTTGTTCCGACGTCTTCTTGTATTGTTGAAGCATCTTTATTTTGCCTTTATTCCATTCACTAACAAACTAAATAGTTACGAAAGGTGCCACACCCATTGTGCATGGAGCCTGAACCCATGCATAGACTTCATGTAAACAAACAATTTGCTTTAGATACAGTAACAGAGCGTGTTGCTTTAACAAATTAGTACCAATGTATTTTTTCCTACGTGCCAATTTGGTACTGAACAGAATAAAAAAACTTCCTGCAGGAAGTATGTTGAAGGGGATTGATTGCACCACATGCTCATGGGTAATTGACTCTGCCTCTGTCCACTAAGTAAATGAATGCTTATTATGCTCGCTTACTCCAACTGTGATTGACAGGCATTTTGCATACATTAGCCGCCATTTTAAACTCAGGCATGTTTCAACCGAAAAAAACAACATTTATACATCAAAAGCCCAACCAGATGAGTGTAAACGCTAGAGTACATATTCATGCCCCCATAGAAATGTATTTGGAATCACAGCTTGATCTCTAAACATTGTAAATGGCACATTTCCCGAAGCTCTCGCCATGATGTGAGTGGTTTGGTTCGAATTAGCAGACTAATTGCGGTGGCCATCTTGCCCCTATTTATAGTATTGGTTCCCTTTTAAGCTTACAATGACAGCTACAGTAGTAGTCTTCAGAAAAACTGGTCATGAAATCCCTCCCTACCCATCATGCAATTGACATAATTCATTGTGGTGTGTGGCACATATACATGCACCGTAGTTGTCTATAGTTGTGCACATCTGCCTGGCATCAGAGAGTTTGTAGGTTTGAGTCATGTGATCAGCTGCCCACTTAGCAGTAAAAAAAAAAAAAAAAATTTTGTTAGTTTCTTTGTCTCACAGTGTCGCTAGTTGGGAGAATACCTAAATATAAAAAAAAACATAAAAAAAAAACATGATCATTGGCAACTAGAGAACTTCATATTCCTTTATTGTGTGCTCGAGGTAATTGTACATGTAGGTGTTATATTGTGTCTCTATCAATCAAAACGCTGTATTATTTTTCTGGTATCATAGCACATAATAGAATATCTGTTAATGATCCCTGTTAAATGTGGCTCACATTTCAGGACGTGTTAAGTCTTAATATCCTGTTATCATTTCCTGTAGCATTAGTTATTCTCATCATCAATGTTTTGTTCTAAACAATAACTTATCATTATCAGTTTTTGTGATGTCATGTCATTCTCAAAGAATAATGAGCTGTCGCTCCATTCATGAGAGTACACCTGTGTTATGTTTATTTTCAGCTTGCATTATTATGGTACAAAAATTTCTTCCATTTAGCCCAAAAAAATGAAAAACCTCATTAGCATAACAATAGAATTGATTAATTGATTGATTGTTCCGAAATTTATTTTTTAATCCTACTCATTGTGTCTACCATAAATTCACTCATCGGTGTTTACAGTTTGGGGTATGACATATTTATAAGAGAAGGGACGTAAAATATCCACTGCCACACTGCTTCAAAATTTTCCATTTTTAGCTCCGCTATCGACTTTCCATTTTTTCTTGACTCATGGTAATTTTTGCTTGTGAAATTAAAGTTAGCTGTCATTTGGACAGGAGGCTGTTTTAACAATGAAATTATTTTTTTTTTAATAGACAGTGAAGAGTTTTGTTAAATTAATTAATGTGTGTTCCCATGAAGATGTAGATATGCATTATCCAGAAACACAGAAATTGATAGATTACGGTATGTGAAAACTATGATGAAAATTAATTCAAAGATGAGAAACTTTTCGTATTTGCTTGTCCAAAATATAATGCTCTCAGATCTAGAGCTCAGTGACTTTTCCACAGAAATATTAAAAAGACTACTGCTTCATAATTAATGAGATGGTTATTATTAATATGATACTGTATTTGCTCTCTTAGAAGCATTAAAAAAAGGTCACGTAAACAATCCCATTGTTGTACTGGATAACTAAAATCATGAGTTATTTTAAACATATAGTAGACTTGCCTCTGCCGTTCACATAAGAACACATATGCTTAGAACAAATACAGTATTTACAATTCATTGACTATATAAATTGTAACATTCCCCCTAAAATGAAACCTAAAAGAAGGAAGGCAATATAGTTATTACTGTAAAATACTTTATTTTAGCTGGAATAAATTTTTCGCTGAAAAGACTTTTTGAGTGTTTTGTATGGAATTTATTAGTCCCCGTTCGGACGGAGTCCGAAAACGGGGACTTATGTTTTGCCCTGTGTGCGTCCGTCCGTCCGTTTTTTCATGATCCGATTAACGATAGCCGAATAGCGGCCATTTTAAGGCCGAAAATGCATCAAAATCGCACATTTTCACCATTCCGGACCCGGATCTCAGTTATGCATGGACGGATTTCGTTCAAATTTGGTACATACATTAAACATAATAGGACCTTGATGCACGTCATTTTTTTTTTCGGATCAAGTTCGAAATGGCCGACTGGCGGCCATTTTGTTTTAAAGAGTTCAGTTCTGGATCCGTATCCGAGACATGTCTGGATTGATCAAGTTCAAACTTCACACACACATGGTGCATCATGTCACAAATAGATATGTGCATTTGTTTCATGATCCGCTTAACAATAGCTGAATGATGGCCATTTTAAGACCGAAAATGCATTAAAATCACGTATTTTCACAATTCCGGAACCAGATCTCAGTCATGCATGGATGGATTTTGCTCAGATTTAGTACAATGTGTTGTACATATGCAGGTGCATTTCGGTCATGATCTGCTTTGAATGTATATGTCACTCAAATATGAACGGAACGGGGACGTGTCATTGACAATGACTTGTTTTCACTGATTCTTGGTGATTTAAGTGTAAAATATAGGAAAAAATGTATATTCGCTGGATTTTATTTTCACTGAATTATCCCATCAGCGGAAATAAATTACAAGCGAAAATAAAGTAATTTACAGTACTTATGCCATTGTCAAACAAAAACAAATTATTGCAAATTATTATCAGTAATGACTAAAAATATCTGTGCCATTCATATTATTTATGATTCATCCTTGGTGTAGTAGCTAGATATCATAGACAGTCTTAGTTAGAAACAGTTTCCTGATATTTACTGTTCATACCTCACTCAATAAAGTGATCATCTTTTATACAGGAAGATGGATATACAGATGAAAGCCATTGTAATGTATTTGTTCTATTGATTGATGATTGCCTTTATTAGCATTTATGATATTGAATTACTGTAATATTATAAATTGTCAACTAACGTGTCTGACAGCTAATATTATTGACTATCTGTCTGTGATGTGCATCAGCGTTGTTGACCTCGTTGGTTTGGATTTAATGTGATATCGGGTACATGTGGTAGTTTGGGTTTTCGCTCTCATGTTTTGATTGCTGAGCTGTGCCCGTGTCAAATTTTCTAATTTCCCATGGCATAATGAGTTGTTTCATCATGCACTGATACCCCTGTAGGAGTGACACTTTCTGGGAAATAATTTCTCCTCTTGATTTAGCCAAGAAGTTCCCTAACAATTAACTGAAAATTAATGTGATTCATATACTAAACTTTTGTATCCTTATTAAAATTTCATGTAATGCAGATGTGAAAGAAAGAAAAAAAAAAGCTAACAAATTATACATTCAAATCTAAAAAAATGAAAGTAATTCAGCAAATAATATGGTTTACAATATTTCTATGGAGGAAAGTGATTCAGTTTACATATGTATGTGTGGAACACAATGACCTTAATTTGCTAAATTCTGTATTTCAATTTTTTCCTATGAAAATAATTAAAATAATAAAATATAATTTTTTTACATCAATATCTTTCAATAATATATTATTTGAAATTATTGTTCGTATGAATACTACTGTTAATATCGCTCAGGCAATTCATTTAATTTAAAAAGTTTCCACTATGATAATATTTGTGCATTATAATCAATGACAATCTCTCTCACAATGCACTTTGAATTTTTATTCAAATTAAAGCGAGTGATGTAAATAGATAGCCATGTGTCTATTACTGTTAGTTCAGTTTATTATCCAAAGATCATAAAACAAGGGTACCAGGATAAACCTCACAGACCTCTGGAAAAGTGCTTATTTTTTTTGGCAACTTTTAAGTTTGTATTTATTGACAAGTATGTACCATATGCTTCTCAAGGATATACCCTGGGGTAAGACACATGTATTATGTTTACTTAGAATTAGTATCACTGTGGTTATTGTTGTATAAACATTAGATAGTGTTGTGTCAGGCATTATTTCTACTAGTAGCAGAAGCTAGGTTGAACTTTTGATGCAGATTGTGTTTTCCCTCTACAGTGCTATTTTTTCCAGTACCGGTAGCTATTTTATTTTGAGCCATGTTTTTTAGCCCCGCTGTCGACTTTGTTGAGCGAAGCTTACCGGGTATCATATGAGTGATTGTCCGTCGTCGTCCGTGTCAATGTTTTACTCTTTTGACTTTTTCTTGAAAACTACAAGCCTGAATGCTTTGATACTTGGTGTATATGTACCTTGGGTAGACCTCTCTTAGATTTGTTAATTCCATGATGATATCTTCAATTCTTTAATTTTAATGATTATTTTTGTCATTTTTGGTAAAAAGTGATATTTTTGAATTCTTTTTGAAAACAGCAAGTTCGATTGCTTTGATACTATACATATTGTTCATTTTCTAATGATATTTTCAGTTCTTTAATTGCAGTGTGCATTGCTAACAGCGGAGCTATCCCAGCCGACAGACTGCTTGTTTTTTACTTATTTGGAGCCTGATTTTGTCGTTTAATTCATCCAGTCTCTACTAATTTTGAGTGATTACAATATGTTTAGAATTTTACTGATTATATACATACATGTACATTACAACCGAGACGGTGACATTGCCAATGAAGTTATTGCCACACATTTTAGAACTCATGCTGGAATATAAATGCCGGGGCTCCACGGCATAAATGCATTGCATGCCAGCATTAATGAAATGAAATGAAATCTACTGTTGCTAAATACTTGCTACACATGGAAACTTAAATCTTGAGAACAGTTGTTGCTTGGTTAGCCTGGTACCAGACACCCACAATCTCACTGTCAAAATAAATAGTATCTAAAAACTGAAAGGGAATACATCTACAGATTGTTAAATTATACTTTACAAATAAATATTTGTATCTTGGGTACTTTTTTTCATCAGCAACAACAATGGATCCTTTCTGTGCTAAATCTTTAAGGGAAATCTTTAAATCTTTAAGGGAAATGACATCAAGGAACTTGGGGGGGGGGGGTTAAACTACTGTGTATATTATTGGTTTTGAGTTAGAAACTGTCATTTTTAGGGGTGTCTGTCAAATGTGTGTGTGGGATTTATTCATATGTACGGTAGAATACTTTATTTTAGATGGAATTAATTTTCCTGTAAACATTTTTTTGGTGTTTTATATGGAATTAATTTTCACTGATTTTTGACAAGATGAATGTAAAATACAGGAAAAAGGGTATGTTCGCTGGATTTTATTCTCATTGAATCATTCCTTCAGCGAAAATTAATTCCAATTGAAAATAAAATATTTTACAGTACTACTGTTTCACCTCCCCCCCCACCCCTCTCAAGTTTCTAATGGTCCACCCCTCACCACTTAATATGAAGACTTACTAGCATCATTATTATCTGAAAGGAGTGTTGTTAATACTAGTTATCAGTTTCATTAAAGCTGTGACAACAATAGTTTGACAATCAGCACTCAATTCTCTGCAAGTGTGTGCACATGTATGTACTTACCCCGTAGTTGAGTATCATATCACACTGTACATATACATTGGACGCTTTGCTTTAATTTGGCCAAAAAAAACGATTGAAGTTGACAAGTCGTGTATCTGATATTTTTCATTTTTCATCATTTTAGAATGTCTTTTCCATACCATGTGAAGTTAGTTCAAAAAAAATCACTACCCCATGACCTTAAATCTCTCTGGTAGAAGGATTCAATTATGTTCAGAATTAAACAATGTGTTTTTTTTTCATATGCCTCTGCATTGATTGCCATACATATGGCAGGTTGAATGAAATGATTGATTGAATATAAACTTTAAAAAAAAAAAATTGAGTCACATAAGTTGCATGTATTGTAATTATACATGAATGCTTAAAAATGGGTCAGGAGATGTGTTATTTGTTATTTTTTTACTGTACTATTGAGCTACAATGACCTTTATGGTATTACTGGGTAAGCTGAAATACTTAGGCTGAAATTTTAGGATTTACATCTTTTGGCTAATCTGCTGAAAATTTATTATTAACAAAAATTAATAATTAACAGAAATTAATCTAAATATTGCTTTTATACTATCATAATATCATGTGTTGACACATGCACCATGGGTACCTGCACCATGTCAATTTGGCTCAGTGTAGAAGAAACAAATTCAGTTCACTTTGGGTTTTTTATATTAATTTCTCATGTTCTTACATGTATAAATAATATAAGTAGTTCTTAATATTAATGTTATGTACAATGATTTTGCGAAGATAAGCATGTTGATATCTCATTATGACTGAATTTAGAAAATCTCAAAAGATACCATATTTGATTTATTTATAGTCCTTCTCATAACTGCTCTAGATGGTTGTCTCTAACGTGACTGAACTTTTCACCCGATGTAAATGCATGCAAGACCCTTTTTAATAGAACAAATACAATTTTAAAAGGTGAAAGTTCAAGACTTGATTGTCCCTGACAATGTAAAAAAATAGTACTGATGTCTAGTCTGTACATACAATCAACCAATGTCACATTTAAAATTTTCTCCATTACATGTACATGTGTTTAGGCTGAGAAAAAGAATATCTCTGTTTCTCGTTTCCGCGCGCATTGTTTTGAACTACTAGTATGCGCCTCAAGACGTTATTTTCTCCTTCTACAGCATTCCAAAATGCGCTTGTACTCACACTTGTCTCAAATTTTAGCTCAGTATTAAAAAAAAAAAATTGCCTCTTAAAATTTCCATGAAACGAGAAACAGAGACTTTTTTTTCCTGGCTTTACTGTAAAATACTTTCTTTTCACTAGGAATTTATTTTTGCTATTTTAACTGAATGGACAAATCAGTGAAAATACTTTTTTTTTTTTTTTTACTTTTTACATTCAATAATCAGTGAAAATAAATTTCATACAAAACAGCTAAATGTATTTTCATCGAATATTAATTCCAGTGAAAATAAAGTATTTTATAGTATATTGCTGTTAAGCATTTGTCCTTTCACTTTGGTTTAGAGTGTTTTTAATGATACTGAACTTGACATGCAAAACTTCTTAACTTTTACATATTAGTAAATGTTTTGGGGGCATTGAAAATGTCATAATTGCGCAACAAAAGGGATAATTTTCTCACGGTGTATTGTTATTCCCAACCAGACTTGTTTGTAAATATAGCGTCATAAATTTAGTCGTCAGGGTCTAATCTGTTTATTTAACCAATAAACATATTTAAATATTTTTGCACCCAAACAATCATGACTAGCTATAAAACATGTCTAAACATGCATTGAAACAAAGTCATATCAGTGGTTAGTATGATATTTTCCAAATTTAGTCAGTCAAATGTTGAGTCTTTGTCTGTTGTATTGGTGCCAAGTATCATACTATGTGGTGTGTGTGTATTGTCTACATGATATGTTTAATTATTATTATTTTTATTTCATTTCATTCATGATTTTTGTATTTCTGTTAATGGTGGCTATTTTTCTATATTAGACCGTATGGTTTATATAGTAGTAACTTTATTACACTATCGAACCATCAGCGGGTTCAGTATGGTAAATAAAAAGTATTACAAAACTAGGACAATTCTAAATACAATACAATACAATACAAAAAAAGTAGAAAATACAATAATAGAAAATAAGAATAAAATAAAGAGTTAAAAAAAAAAAAATGTTAAAAACAATTACTAGAATGAATACAATTAAAACAGAAACTGATCTAAATAAAGTACTAGTAATTTAGTCCCACCAACTCCCCTCCCATAGGTGAAGTGATTAAAAATATATAGTATGTCATATCTCAAATTGTAGGCTAGACATAGGTAATTTTATTATCCCGAATTATTTTCAAAATTCTGTGTTTTAGAAAATGAAAAAAAATGTTTCTGCTTCAAAATAGTGTTCTGAGTAATTTTCTAAGAATTGCAAATTTTGAATTTTCTCAAACACACAAAAGATAGTTGTTTCATGTTACCATGGAACTTTAGCTCCATAATTGTACATAATGACCAATGAACATTTTCATGTTATTTATGACCAACTTTCCTAAAAATTATGAGTAGTCTTTCTATCCTAAAAGATTAATATTAGTTTCCAAAAAGAATGTAGTCTGTCTGTACATGTAGATGCCTTGTGTGGTTATATAGCGCCCTCTCTGGTACATATAGACAGATATTTGTTTATGCCATTCATTATGGCTCTCCACAAACTACAACTCTAAGATAGATGACCTAATTTGCATATATTTAGCATAATTGATTGTTATTTGCATATGTAGAAAGGCGAGATTATAAGAAATTGGCAGTTTGGTCACTGATGTAATAGTTTTTTCTTTTGAATTTCCATTATTTCTTCATCCATTTGTGATTCTCACCAGTATACTTATACATATTTTCTTTTCTTAGAGAAGTTGCTGAGTATCTAGTGAAGTATGAGGCCAATCCAAATGTTGCTGATTCTAAAGGAAGTTATCCCTTGCACCTTGCATCATGGACAGGCAATGCAGACATTGTGAAAATCCTATTATCTACTCAAAATATTAAAGTAAATGAACAGGTAGGCCTGTATGATTTAATTAATATTAATCCTTTGAATGATGGTGCCAAGTTTTGTACATTTTTATGTATTCTTCTATCATTACTTTTTTAATATTATTATTTCCCATTGCCTATGGGTCTTGATCGAGTTTCTGGATCCTTATGTCTGACATGTTTAGGCTCT